TATAATGATGGACCATGGACTCAGATTTAGACAGATTCATCAGAAAGATGTTAGAATCTCAGTCATGCAAGTATACTTCCATATTAAGAACACAGGCTTAAAATCAGACCACCCGGGTCCAAATTCCATTTCTACTACTTGCTAACTCTGAGACTTGGAGCAAGTTATCTAAGTGCCCTCCCTGTCCCTGGTTCCTTCATCCGTAAAATGGGGATACTGTCGGCACCCAGCTCATTGACTTTTTATGCAGATTGAGTTTACACAAGGAAAGTGTTTGGAAGGACACCTGGTGAAGACTGGACACTCGAATAGTAGGCTATTACTGTAATTAATTTTAGGCATCCTGACCTACTGTGTCATCTTTCACTATGCACAGCAAAGAAGAAATATTTCTCTTTCTGTGATTGTCTTATCCCTGAACAATATGGGTCGTTCTTTTTCTCTCACTTGTATTTTTAATTAACTGACTCATCTTTAATTTTTTTTCTCTTACATGCCCTTAGAATTGCAGTTGAAATGAGATGACACATGGCAAAACTCACAAAATCCAGTTTCAAGCATAAAATTGAGTAGATAAGTAACAAGTAAATGTAAATTGTAACAAGTAAATTGACTAAGTGTCAGTTTTGGGGTAAGCAGGTTGCCTTCTTGCCATCTTTTAAGGTTTTATGGAAAAAAATGATGCCACTCTAATGAGGACAGATGGGTTTAAAAAGTTTCTTCCCCAGAGCAGTCTATTGCCCAGAAATCAATATCTTTTCAATCTATCAAAATTACTTGTACTTTGCTGTTGGTTCCTTTTCTCATATATTGGACCGTGTTGTTCTACAACATTTTTGTGTTCTATTCATTGGTGTACAGTCTTACTTGTGTTTTACTTTCTGTGGCTTATCAGAATACATTATGAATAATAATAAGTAGAAACGTGTATCGCTTATTAACCTCATTGGTTCAATATTTCATCAAAGTCCATAAAATACAGAGAGCACATGTTGTCTCAGCCAGGACACTTAAGAGTACAGGGGGTGCTCTTTTAATAAGTATATGGGATAGCAGGTAGAAACTAGAACTGTCCAGGGCGTTAAAGGATGATTAAAAAAAAAACAGTTAATGGAGATTTCATGCACAGCACAGTGATTACCCACAAGAGTACTATGTTTTAAACTTCAAAGTTGCTAGGAGACTGGATTTTAAATATTTTCACCACAAAACAGAAATGATAATTATGTGATGGGATAGAGGGGTTAGCTAAGACAACTCTGGTAATCCTACTGCAATGTATAAATGTGTCAAACCAGCATGTTGAACACCTTAAACTTACACAGTGTTACATCTCAATTAAAAAATAAAAAATTTAAAATTTAAATAAATCAAAAATTAGGTAAAATATTGAGTCTCGTAGAATATAAAAAGAGCATGTGTCAAAGATTTCACTCACGAATCACAGAATGGGTTAGAAGTTGTAAGAGGTTTCCAGGAGAACACTAAGAATTTCATCTTCATAATCAAATAAGGGATGCTAAAATGAAGTTTACCACTTGGTGTAAAGCTGATTCATTGGTCAGTGTCCACAGGACAGTCATCAGTTGCATCCCAGTGGACACAGTTTGCATTTCTATGGATAAGAAACATTTGCATTGCTATCAGTTTTCTTCAGTTTCCAGAGTTTAAAATAGCTCGGAGACCCACTGACTTTTTTGCCCCCATGAAAGGCCTTCTCAGTTTTTCCCTTCACAAGCAGACCTAGCACAGCTCAGCACCCTACTTACACATTACATGCTCTCACTATCGCTTTCTTCGTATGATTTTGGACTTACCTGTTGATTGCTGCTTTGTTAGGTTTTTTAATAGTTTATCAAGCTGTACAGTATGAGGTTCTACTCCTCTTTCAGATATGAGGTTGGCCAGAACCTAAGCTGTTGTTATTTGTGGGGTGGGGGGGTGAACAGAGAATGCTACTTTCAATTCTGTTTTGGTTGCCTACTCTGGGAGGACTTGGAAGCATTTTGGCTGGATGAGCTGAGCAATCTGCAGCTGTTCAAATACTTAGAGCCTTTGGGTTGATTGTGGATTTTCCTTTAAAATCCTTCCCCCCGCCCCCCACTAAAAAAAGAGAAGGAGAGAGAGAAAGAAAAAAAGAAAATCCAACAGCCAACTGCATCTACTACCTTTTTTTTTTTTAACTGTTGTTTGTTAAGCTGCAGTTATACTTCTGTAACCAGAGGCTGTGTTTATTTTCAGCGTTGGCAGTTCTGCCTAATGAATCAACCGGTATTGAATTCACAAAGGGGGATGCCGTTTCCCTCCCTCCATCTGTTTGCCAAATGTGTGTGTTCCCTCAGCTCCTAGTAGTTGTTTCACTCAGAAGAGCCATTAGCAAGCGGGTCTTCTCATTGAATTCTCAGCCACTGCCATGCTGCCGTGTGGGATTTTCCCCTCGTGGTTCCAAAGGACTTGTTTGCCAAAGCTCCACACTTGTGATTCTAGAGAGAGAAAGAGTACTTATATTTGTTGTTTAAGTATAAAGTTTGGCTCTGCATTCCTCAGAGCTTTAGTTTGGTTCTTGAGCTTTGATTTGGTCCTTCATGATGGGAGGTCTGCCTCTGGACAGTAGTGTTGCCATGGGGATTTAAATTACTCCAAAGAGACAGGGGTTGTGGGAATACTGGTTGGGTGTCTAGCACTGGGAGCTCCTGATGGATTTTTTTTGAATTACACTCTATTTCCAGCAAATCCTTCTTTAATTCTTATTGATGGTAGGGAGGAAGTTGTTTTATTAACAAAATCTGGAGGAATCTTTATTTTTTTGTTTTTGCTTTGCTTTGTTTTGTTTTTTACTTCATGCATGAGAAGCTTTTTAGGTCAGTTACTTCTCACACATGAACGTGCATATCAATCCCATGGGATTTTGTTAAGCTGAAGATTCCAGTTCAATAGAAAGAGTAGAGGTCAGAGATTCTGCATTTCTATCAAGCTGTGGGCCACACTATGAACAGTAAGAATTTTAGGTCAGACAGCTTCAGTACTTTCTCTGTGGTCTTTGGAGCAACCTGGAGGGGAAAATGGTAGAATGGTTTGGTTGGGGTTCAGCATCCAAATACAAAGTGGAAACATTTTACCTCTGCATTGGTGTCAAGAACCAGGTATGCGAGCTAGACAACTTTCTAGCTTCCCCTGGGATAGACCTTCACATTTCAGGCATGTTAATTTATGTGAGATTTTTTTTGGGAATTTCCAGAACATTTTACATACCCAATTTCATATCTAAATTTCAAATATTTTTCAAAGCAAATTATGAGTTCTTGGTGGGGTTCTGTTATATATATGCATATGTAACAGTGATTATGTTCTTTTCCCAGTGACATGTCCCAATTTTTGATATATTACCTAGATTAAAAAAATAATCTCTCTTAAATTTGATGGCATGAATATTTTAATACCACTCTCTCGTGTACTGTGTCATTTCACTTAGCTTACTAAACAGTTTTGTAAGAACTGAGTGTTATCTAAGAAGTCTTTTGAGTACTGTTAAACCTTATTACTCTATTCTGACCTAGAAAAGGGATAGTAAAGTATTTTTAAATATAAGGACACTGATCCATTGAAGTTAGGAGCTGTTCACTTCACACGCAGACACAAAGAAGGAACCTAATTTAAGCAGTAAGTGAATTTGTTCTACCTGCATCTTATTTCCAAAAGCCTTCGAATTCTGTGACTTAGTTTTGGAATTTACAGAAAAAGAGAAAATGTAAAACTTGCTTCTTAAGTGAAGAATAAGCATCATGAGAAAAACTGTTGAATGTCTGTCAAAAAGTACTAGTTAACTGAGAGAGGCTCATTGCTGAGAGGAGCATGAAGTCACATTGGCAAGAGAGATTCATGCAGAAGGGGAGTAGAGAATCCAGATACAGAAGAGGGTGTTGGGGAGGAAAAACAACTTTTCCTTCACCCTCTTAGGTTTAGTTTCTGGAGGTCTGTGAATTATGCTGACAAAAGACAGATTAGCAAGAGAAGAGCATTTGCTTATGCATGCAAGGCACATACTGTGATGAGTAACTCAAAGGGATGGTTAGAATTGGGGGCATATGTACCCAACTTAGCAGGGGAAAGAAGTTGGGGAGAAAAGGCTCCTTTGTGAAGACCCAGTAGGTTTCTTTAGGAAAGATAAATGGGTTTTTTAGGAGAATAAACACGAGATAAGAAAGTTTGTGATAATGTTTGTTTATGCAGGTGCAAGTAGTTTTTCTGTCTTCTTCGTAGCCATGAAACTCCCCCAGAGAGAGGATTTATGGTAGCCTTGTTTCCAAGAAGTTTCTGCGTTTAGTCAGATGAAGGAAACTCTGAAAAGACATCTTCCTACATCTGTTCAATCTCAGATGTCTTTAGCTTGAAATAATCTTTGTATCAATTCTAGGGCTCTGAGCGAGCCCCCACAGGGGAAAAGGGCTGATTTACACCAAGGAAGGAGAGACTGGAGGTTAAAGAGGAGGGAGCCTCACTTGATTGTGAGGTGAAGATGTTATTCAGAGTTAAACTCTTCATTTCTCAGTTCTTTGGAAATTTCATTAGGACTTCTAAAGTTTAGCAACTCTTTACAGCACTTCTGCTCTCGGAGGATTTATTCTGAATGAGGATCTATATCTGCCTAACACAAGTAGAATTATTCTGGAAACTACATTGATCTGGCTGCATCAAGCCTGAGGCCCCAGGGTCACACTTCATATCTGGGTTTTAATTTGTAGTTGTAAATCTTTGCGAAAGAGGTAAAACAACATTTTTTACTTATATTTTCACAATATAATTGCTCAAATAAAAATTTATTATTGTTGTTTCAAATGTTAAGTAATAACTGGACATTGGTTTCAAAATGATCCGTCATGGGGATCATTTTGCATGTATTTTAAAAACTTAGAATAAACATTCTATTTGCATACATTCTATGTGACCTATATTATTTTGTATGTTCTTTAATTTAAATATACTACCCTTTTTCCCCCCAGCCACCAAACACAGACAACCTGTTGGGATCATCCTAAAATGACTGAACTCTTTCAATCCCTCGGTGAGTGCTATTTTATTTAATTAACCTAAACGACTGATAATTGTATATTCTTAATCGGAAAGTAAGCACCAGTTTTTCCTACATGGCATGGTATGTTTAAAAGATTGTGTCACTGACATAGAAAAAGCAGTTGAATTTCTGAGGGCAATGCAGGAAACAGTTTTTACCTTTCTTCTTGAGAGAACACGTGGTTTGAAATCGCAAGAGGTTGATTTTAAAAGGAGGAATGCAAGCTCCCTCACAATGAGTCATCTTAAACTTCAGCTTTGCCTGAAAACAAAAACAATGACAGCGCAGCAACCTCTAATTCATTGCTTTAAATTTCCTGTTAGCTCACATTTTGTTCAGTTAATCTTACAAAATTGGCTTGCCTAATTTCATTTTGTCGAAGTAGTCATGAAAAGCTAAAATCATTTTAATATAAAAATGTAAGAAAACACAGGAGGTGAGAATTCTAATCTTGTAGATTTCTGGTAGAATATGACTTTGAACTGATGACCTAGCCTGCTTCCTTTAGGTTGGTCCAGTGGTTTTGAAAGAGTTTTCTCTTTGGGTAGATAAGGCACTGCTGGAGGGGAGAGCAGCACCCGAAGGTTCTCACACCCACTCCCGCTTCAGCAGGGAGAGAGCACCCCTCTTGATCTCTTTAAATGTCAGGCATCTGTTGAGCTTTCATCTGGATGGGTGAGGGCGGCTAACAAAGGCTGAACAAATGAGAGAAAAGCCAGGGGTTTCTTTCGTTTGTAAAGTGAAGGTACAAACTTGATGATTTCTGAGTTTGCTTCCAGTTCAAGGAGTCTCTAATACAGACAACTCTGTCTTTAGGACACAGAAAGAAATTACGATATCTTTTTTTGAACTTGATACCAAATCTTTTTTGGTACCAAACTTTGATACCAAAGTGTTTTGTTTTTTTTTTTTAGCTGAAATATAATTGGCATATAAGGTTATATTAGTTACAGGTGTACACTATAATGGTTCAATATTTGAATGTATTATGAAGCTGTCCATCAGAGTGTCTACTTACCATCTATCACCTCATGTCATTACAACATTTTTTATTCTTGTGATCTTTTAAGATCTACTCTTTTAGCAACTTTCAAATATACAGTATTATTAACTACATTTAGCCTCTTGTTTCTAAAGATCTGAATATAGATTATGGGATAATTTTAACCATATCTATAAAAGAGCAGAAGAAGCAAACAGATCAGGATGGGAGACATAAGACTAGCTTTAGGAGTAGTGACAGGGACAGCCTCATTGACAGAAAACTAATTGTCCTTGAGGAAGATTTCCCGGGAGGAGAGTCCCTCCCAGCAGCGGAGAAGGAAGGGCCCTGAGCCTACAGTGTGATGGATTTATTAAGCCTTCAGAAGTTAACAGGCCATGTTTCCTTTTCCTCATTTCCCTCCTTTTCTTATTGGATAATGCCCTCTTGAAAGCAGTGTAGCACTGCTTTGGAATGTATCTCGCTATGGTGCTAATGAACATTTAATTATTCTCTTAAATAAATGCTGTGGATTTTGAGAGAAGACTTTTTAGTGAGTACAGACATAATACTTTTCCATCATCTGAAGTAAACAAATATGTTCTTGCCATTCAATAGAAGTTAAACAATAAGCCTGCCTTTGAATGTGTTCCTTTTCCATTTCAGCTGACCTGAATAATGTACGTTTCTCTGCCTACCGCACAGCCATCAAAATCCGAAGACTACAAAAAGCACTGTGTTGTGAGTTATTCTGCCAAAGTTAATCACTCTGTTCTTTGGATTGCCTTTTTTTTTTGAGACAGATAAATGAAGAGGGTGATGTGTTTGTAGAGTTAATCTCATTTTCAGTGTATCTCACTCAAGTAATTGGCTGTGTTTCTATAAATACTCTATTATTTGCCCCATCAGCATGCATGCAGTAGTAAGACAAATGAACATATGCCATTCTCAGTTGGAGAACAAAATTAGCCAAAATACAGGAGTAACATAAAAAGCTTTTTCAAAAATTATGCTGCCACCCAATTTAAAGGGATTAAATCAGGAAATCAAAGTAGTAGATCATTGCCTTCTTAGTACTTTGTATTCACTTGGAGGTATAGGATTCCAAACAGTATGATTCAATGCAATCATATAATAAAGAAATACTAAAAAACAATATTCCTGATCCAAATTTGAACTGGCACCTAGAAAATTAGATAAAAGGCTCTGGATTTATTTAAATGTATTTTGAGATGTTTGGTCTTATCAACATGAACTTTTCCTGCAGAGTTTGTTGAGAGTAATGTTCTGTGATAGCCATTTTACCAAAGAGGTATTCCTCCCCACCCGCCCCCCCGACACACATGCCCAAACAACCTAACTTTAAACAGAAATATGAATACTTGTAATAATATAGATTTAATCTCTCTGAATTCTCTTTGTGGTCATAGTTTTAATGATTGAGTCTATTCAAAGAACATGTAGGCCTTGTCAGATAGTTAATATGGAAACTGACATCCACCCATATTTTTACAGCCTAGTAATTTGAATAATTCCAAGTATTCTTGTTGCTACCTTTTGTTAACAGTTGTTATATGTCTAGGCAGTTCAGTGAAGCTTTGCATATTACTCTTCAAAAAATGATATATTAAGGTTAAAAATCTGCTCTTTAAAGGTCAGTAGAAATCAGAATTACATTTTGAGCTGGTTACGTGAGGAGAAGTGAGGGAGGAGAAGTAGAAATCATTCAGAAAAAACCCACAGCCATGGAAAGCTTTAAGATAAGAAGAACGTAAGTTATGTGGGGGAGGGAAGTCTCCAGGGCTAAAAAACACCTCCAGATTTACGGATGAAAGAAAAAAACGAGATGATTTTGATGCACATAATCTGCAGAGCCCCAGATAACTGGAAGCAACTGGTGCGGAATTACCAGTACAAACCAGCAAAGCCAACACAGCCTGGCCAGTGATCTGTATGTTGAGCCAGAAGGGAACAGGAAGTGAATTAGGAGCACACAAAAGGGATGTTCAGTGAGCTCTGAGTCCGTGGTGACAGCAGTTTTGAAAGAGGCTCAGCTGCATGTCCAGTATCCAGCTGACAGATCTGGAAGTTCTTCTCAGGCCTGACGAGCTATCAAATGAGGACAAATGAGTCAGCCACAAAATCTCCATTGACCAAAGACTGCTTTTTTTTGTCATGATGAACGTGGTTCGAGTTTTCAGTAGTACTTCTGGCCGGATAAACATATTAACACATTTGGTATTTTCCTCTGCTGGTTCTTTTGAGTTCTCAAGAAAAAATCTCCCTCCTTCAGCTCATTCCTTCAAACCTGAGAGGAGCAGAAGAGGAAGGCCTGCCCCTTCCAAGCTACATGACATGTAGAAATGCATACTAAGAGAAGCGCTGGGTTGCGTTGGATTGTAAATATTCGAGGTGTTGTGTTCAGAGCCACCTGGCCTCACTTTTCCTGCTGCCCCTGCCCCTACTGCTCGTCAGCCCTGGGCCTCTGCACCACTTGTCAGCTCACCTGTTCATGATTAATCTCTTCCTCCTCCTCCCATCTTTTCTGTTTACTTGAAATGCCCTGACCCTTCCTCCGCAAAGGTCCATAACCCTTTGTTCCTCCCAGACACTGTTAAAAATTTACTTCTTTTGGAAACGTTTACAAGCTAATCCCACCTGCCTCCAGTTTTTCCAGAACTTTATGATTGCCTGTAACGACTGTTTCTCACCTAGGCGCCGTATGCTTGCCTTTGTGCGATAGGTAATATCAGGAGGAGTCCACTGCAAACAGCTCAGGTCAGGGGTGGTCTCATTTTGTGCAAACCCCCACCCAGCATAAGGTCCTAATGCAGAGGATGTGCTGTCACTGCTTTGTCATTGTTCATTCGTTCACTGGGCTCCACGATTGTGCAGGAGATAAGACCGCGTAGAGAGACTGGGTTCCCACACTCGAGGAGCCTACGCTCAGAGATAGCAGGTTACGCATGGACACACGCTTTCAGCAGATTCCTCTTGCCCTCAGAATGCAATGGTCTTTGCCGTGAAGAGCAAGGCAAGCTTCCTTGAGTAGGAAGCACATAAGCCAGGCCTTAGCAGTCACACAGGATTTAGGCACATGGCTATGAATCAGGGGTAAGGAGGAAGGGACTTCTGTACATAAGCGTCAAAGGTGTGGTTGGCATTCAGGGAATGTATTAGAGTCTGAATGGAGTGGGTTATGAGCTATCCAGTATTCAGAAATGTCCTTAAAATCAGTTTCGATCCACTTGGAGGGTCGTTTTTTTCCCACGAAACCCTTTCTCATTCATTTAGTTTTTCTGTTCCTCAAGCTCTCAAAATGTTGCATTTAATGTTTGCATTTGTTTTTTATGGAGTAGGCTGCTCTAGCACATTTTCTGTTTTGTGGGAGTTAGGAGATAGGCCCAGATGCAGATGTATGCTTTAGACGATATCTAAGGCAGAAGGAAGGACCACGTGAACAGGGACAAGTACATGGTTCAGGTAAAAGATCATGGGGGCTAAGCTGGCGGGTGTAGGTCACGGGGGCGAAGAGGGTATGGGTTGGTGAGGAGGAAAAAGAACTGATGACTGGGGGGATTTGCTAGTTGATAACCGGCAGAGGGTGAAAGAAGGACAGTGTTAGTACATTTCAGGATTTGCAGACTCGGGGTCCATAGAAGGTGGTAACACCATTACTGGATTGCAACATAATAAGACCATTATTTGGGACATATTAAGGTAGAGGTCCCTGAAACAGAATAGGAGAGTTCTGTTTGGGAACAGAACAGCAGGAATGTGGGTCAGGTGTTCAGGCAGGAGATGGGGATGAGAAAACAGAATTGGGAGCCATCCAGAGAGAAGGGATTACTGAAATACTGACAGTGAGTGAGAGTATCAGGATTACAGAGGGAAGGGGCAATGATGCAAGACCTTGAGCGCCATCTGTATTTCTGAGGTGTCTGGGGAAGAGGAGGTAGGAGAGGTGTTAAGAAGGAATGGTCAAGGGGCACCTGGGTGGCTCAGTCAGTTAAGCGTCTGCCTTCGGCTCAGGTCATGATCCCAGGGTCCTGGGATCGAGCCCCACATCAGGCTCCTTGCTCAGCAGAGAGCCTGCTTCTTCCTCTCCCTCTGCTGCTCCCCCTGCTTGTGCTTGCTCTCTTGCTTTCAAATAAATAAATAAATAAAATCTTAAAAAAAAAAAAAAAAGAAGAAGAAGAAGGAATGGTTAAACAGTTCAAGAACCTAAGAGTTACAGAAGCCCAAGGTCAGGTGCTAAACTGTGTGGTTTTGCAGAACAGGAGAGTGATGATCCATTTCCATTCGATCCCTTGTGCCTCATATGTGGGATTAAAGAAAAAGCCTGAAAGTTGGTTAGAAAATGGTTCTGCTGTTTGTTTTATTTGCCACATGACCGAGCTGTCATTTGTCTCCCTTTGAAAAGAGAAAATCATAATTTTGTGTGATTTAAATGTAGTCTGTTTTTTAAAGGAACCTAAATGTGACACATTGCAGGAAGGATGGATGCTTGGCTTAGGCACCAAGGCAAAGTGTCAAAGTAAATCACTAAAAATTGAAGACATGATCATCTGTGGGATGTGGCAAATTACTGTCACAGCTACAGAGTATATCACAAAGGAGGCTGTTCTAGAAGAAATGCAAGGGCAGCACGATCCAGGAAATGGTCTTTCTGGAATTTGGTCTATTGTCACTTTATGCCATGTGTCGATACAATGGCAGTGCTGAGTTGCTGGCGTAATTAGTGTTGGAATTCAGAAAACTTAGAGCATTTTGGCAGATTTTGAATATGTTTCTTTGTGTCTGTGTGGAATTATAGTTCTGTTGCCACCATCGTGAAGCACTTCTTTTTGTCAAGCACTGTGAAGGATGAGTTTGAATTTTGCTCCTGCCCTCTGGAAGTTTAAAATTGAAAATAACATACAGTGCCAAGAAGTAGGGTACAAATGATATGGAAGATTCCAGATGGTTCTTAATTTTTTTCTGATACCATCTCTAACTCATGTGAAGCTTACACAAGTTATTTTTGCAATTAGCTAAAATTTTACCAGTGATGTATTTGATATCGGAAGGAAAGGGATTGACCCCTATTATCCAGACTTGTGTTTTATATTTGTCTCTTTTTATCTCTTTTTTTAAATGAAGTCTTCCGTGTTGAGTTGTTTTAGAAATAATTTTATTCTGTATAATTTTAAAGCACTTCTTTTCCATTATAGGTAACTTGAAAAAAAAATCATTCTACGGTATTTAAGTAGCAAGAGTGGACACATTTCATAAATGTCTTTAAAAATTTAAAATTAGTGGTTATTCAGTGGTTAAAAATTGATAAATACAAAAGAAGCTATTCGTTCATTTATTTAACTATCAAAATATGTCATTATATTTTCTGAGGGGATAGTTTTGCATCAGACAAGGAGGAAATAGCTGGCTATATTAAAATTAAAAGTTCCCCTGAGCTTATTTCTTTTAAATTTAAAAAGTTAAATATGGTGGGGCACCTGGGTGGCTCAGTTGGTTGAGTGTCTGGCTCTTGATTTTGGCTCAGGGCATGATCTCAGGGTCCTGGGATTGAGCCCCATATTAGGCTCTGTGCTCAGTGGGGAGTCTGCTTGAGGATTCTCTCTCTCCCTCTTCCTCTGCCTCTCCCCCTGCTCATGCTCTCCCTCTCTCTTTCTAAAATAAAAAATAAATAAATCTTTTTTTTTAAAAAAGTTAAATCGGGAGATAGGGAAAACATTTTATAAAGCAGGAATTTCAATGAGCAGACCTTAAATTCATATAGGTTCTGTAATTTTCCAAACCCCTATCTTTTAGATTTAGAAGAGTCATTTCTACACTCAGTAAATGTATAGATACATGGTAATTTGATAATCTACTGTTTCCCTGGTTTCAGTTAGCTAATGAATGACTCACAGTTGATTGAAAAGAAAGATTATGTAAGTTGTTTTCTTTTTTGTCTAAACCTTTCCTCCTGGCCCGTGATGATCTCCCCTAGTGCAACACGTGCTTGCCCCTGAGAGCCAAGTGTCTGCCTCAGCATAACCAGTGCCACCCACGTGTAAGCCATGTACCATCCATAGTGCTGTTGTCATTTCTGAGAGCCCCCTAGACTTCCTCGAATTCTTGTCTTTTCCCAAGCAGTTCTATCTTCCTGGAATTCTTCCCTTACTTTACATGGTCTCTTGTATCTTATATTCTTTAAGGCCCATTTCAAATCCCCACCTACCCAGGGAGCCTTTTTTAGGCTCCTTCTACTCCCCTGTGGTAATAGCTCTCCTAGAAATCTATGTATTCTCATTGAATTTTCACTCCTTTTAGTAAAGTTATCAGTACGCTCACTCTCCCTCTCTGACTGGCCATCTTTGAGAGCGGGGGGCTCCAGCTTATCCTTCTGTGCCCGTCATGCTCTAGCCCTGGCCAGTCCCACTGTAGATGTTCTGCACATGAAGCATAAGAGTGGGAGCAAATACACAAAGGCCCATGGATGTGGCCTGTATTGTGGACCTCTACAAATCCCATGTAGCTAAAATGGCCTCTATGCCAAAGCATCATGGGAAGCAAACCAGGTGAGGGCCAGATTGGGAGGGCATTCTAGATCAGGTTTGTTCAGCAGACAGTAGAGAGCTACTTTTTTTTGGCAGAACCCATTTTTTTAACTGCACATTTTCAGTGAGTTTTGTATGTCATAATGTATGTACATGTTGAGAAACAGAATGATTGGTTTGGCCGTGGTATAAAGGATGACTGGGAGGGGGTGAGCAGGCTGTTCTCAGGAGTTAGGAGAAGAGCAGTGCCATATTTTAGATGTTCTGCTATGTGGACTAGATTTATTTATGCCTTCCTATGTTTAAAAGTAGAAAAAGCCTGAAGAGAGGAAAGCCAGAAAAGGAAAGTAGGAAGAATTGATATTCCAAAGAGCAAAAAATGGGATCAGATTGAAAAGTAACAGAGTTTAGATGCAAAAGCATGAAAATAAGAGATTACAGATAAGAGTTTAGAAATGTAAGAATGGAAATGCTATTTATTTCTTTAAAGATTGAAATTGGCTAGAAAGGATAGATTCTTAAGTTGGAGAATCAAGCTAAATACTTAAGATGAGAAATGTTTTTGTTTTAGTGTTGTTATGTAATGTGATGATTGTGCATATTCCTTTCTCTCACCTGATTAGTGGATCTCTTAGAGTTGAATACAACAAATGAAGTTTTCAAGCAGCACAAACTGAACCAAAACGATCAGCTGCTTAGTGTTCCAGATGTCATCAACTGTCTGACAACAACCTATGATGGCCTGGAACAAATGCATAAGGATCTGGTCAACGTTCCGCTCTGTGTGGATATGTGTCTCAACTGGTTACTCAATGTGTATGACACGTAAGTTTGCATTGTTTCTCCTTAAAATATAATCATTGAATGAAATATATTGGTAATGCCAAATGTCTAAATTTTGAAATGAGTTTTTTAAGAAGTACTTTCAAAGTACTTTTCCTAGTGGAAATATTTATGTTAATTGTTGAAAAGAATGACTTTCCAAAATTTGAACCCTTAACCAGCAATATAACAAAAAAGAATGTCCACCTATTATTTCAAGATTTTGCTTCAGTTTATAAATACTATTGGATTCCTAGTGTCACATTGGCTAGGGGAAGCCTAATATAAATAAGTCCTATATCCTCCTCTCTTCTTTTGAAAGACAAAAATTTATATTTGTTGTTATGAGTTACAGTAATTGGCTCATAGTAATCCACTTTGCAATTTTTGTATGACAACTTAAGAGCCATTTGAATGGCAATTAAAGGGATTTAATTTGTCTTTTCATATTAGCTTTATTTGTTGTAATAGTGGTTATGTGTATATGTGGTGTTTTAAATAGTTTATGCTATAGGACACTCTAATATCTGTAATTTAATTAGATGCTCACTGTTACATGAAGAGCACTCTCAACTTCCAGCATAACTCATTCGCCATTAATTTGGCTGTTTTGAATGTGATAGTGCATTTGTGAAATAATCAATTCTAGAAAGACCTGCTGTGGGCTGACATTTCTAAAACATTAGGAATTATTCATTCTTCTGGTAGGGGGTTAAAGTATGCAAAGATGAAATAAGAAAATGAGAACTGTTGATTTTCTCTCAGAACCTAAAAGTTATTTTCCATTAATTAGCTGCATGAAAATTTGTGTTTGTCATCCTTTTATTTGATTTAGAGAGCAAGAAGATAGATGATAGTTTATAAATGTACATGTGTTTAGCAGTGGATTGATTCCGTATAAGTAAATGGTGACAACAATAGCTTTAGGGATGATTTAATTGAAATTTTATTTCTTTTGATTAGAAAAGTTTGTTATCTTTCAATATTCACAAATATCACAACAAAGTTTTTTGTTTTTTTTTTTAAATAATTAAATAGCCATCGTGTACTTGAGGACTCTTAAGAAACTCACTGAAGAACAGATAGGTAGCATGAATCTCAGTTATAATAATGAATGTGGGATTTACGATATCCCTATCTGGTATCTTTTAATACATTTCATTTTATCCTTTTTTATCTTTCTAGGGTAGAATATGATAGTTAGCATTAATTCACTATTTAGTTGATCTTCAATTTTTTAAACATCCAAAAGAGACATTTTCTATATAGTAAATTCACCAGAATAGATGGTCAGTTGGGTATTTTAACTACAAAGCCTGTAACTTAGTTTGAGGACCCAAAAAGAATGCTAAATTCATAGAATACTTAGTGAGAACTTCGTTAAGCACCACAGGGGTATGATAGAGATGCATATTTTGAGTAATAATTCAGTAAGAACTAACTGAAATCACCCTCCTCTAGTTCTAACACACTACATTAGTTTGCTAGGACTGCCATAATAGAGTACCACAAACTAGGTAGCTTAAATAAAAGACGTTTATTTTCTTACAGTTCTGCAGACTAGAAGTCTAAGATGAATGTGTCAGCAGGGTTAGTTTCTTCTGAAGCCTCTCTCCTTGGCTTATAGATGGCTGTCTTCTCCCTGTGTCTTCATATGGTCTTTTTTCTATGTGTGTTTGTGCCCTAATCTTACAAAAACATCAGTCGTATTGGATTGGGGCCCACCCTATGACCTCATTTTAAGTTATTTACCTCTCTAAAGACCCAATCTTCAAACACAGTCACATTCTGAGGTACTAAGTGGTTAGAGCTGCAACACATGAATTTCAGGAGGATCTAACTCATAACATGTAACACCTACATGTGCTGTTTTTACTGGACAGCCAAAGGGAATAGTGCCACTTAGTTGTGAAGGAAGCAGAATGTGAAATGTTGTGATTCATATTCTAGGGAATCAAATGTTGGCATATTTCCACTTTCCATCATCAAATGTGAACACATGAGAAATGTTATACTAAGGTACTGTTTCTTATTTAGAAAACAGTTTCTTGAAATTTTCCATTTTAAAGGAAAAAAGGCTTTTAGGATTTATTTCCCTTCCATGCCAAAGAAATACAGTGAAGACCATGCTGGGTCAGAATGGTCTATGCATTCAGTCTAGTTTTCTGTCTTGGAGAGGAATATCATGAATTAACCTAAGGGGAAAAAAACACAGTTAATCATACAATGGCAGTCTCAGATGGCCAGAGTTGGTTGCCCAAATTTCTCTAACAACTGTAATTTATCAATTTATGTAAACAAGAGTTATTAACTCTTTTTAAGTTATTAGTTTTCTTTGAGAATCTGATGGAACTATGATCTACATGATCCAATGCACTAGAACGTGTTGGACCCTAAGAAGTCTCTGAACCTTGGAAATGGTACCATGATCTAACCTTTCCATTCATTTAGCTATTTTGATATTCGCTCATTAACCATGTTTTTGACTGCCTTACTTTGTGTAGTATGATACAGCCAGAGCGGGTATTTTTAGCTCTTGAAGTATATTCAAGCAGCTCTTGAATTAATGAGTGATGCACACACAGGAGATCATAGAATTCTAGAAGGAGAAGTACTTTGAGGACATTCCATCTTCCATTCTGCCCTCTTCATTTTACTCTGCCCTCTTTGTTTTACCAATTAAGAAATTGACCCAGTGAGATAAGAGACTTTATCCATAGCCACCTATTGCATATAAGTGGTAGATAGGGAATTAATACTCAGGTTTTTTTGATAATCACTTGTTTATTTCTGCCATGAAGCCATATCTAAAAAAAGAGTACTTTTTAAGTTATATTGAGTTTACTATTTATTTTCAAGTTTTAACATGTATCCAACTCCTAATATTCTGAAATTTTACCAAAAAAACCCCTATTTTCTTCTCTTGTGAATGATGAGAATCCAAATTTTTGGTTCTTGTTGCTTTGTACCTTGGCAGCTACTCAGCTTTTGGCATCTCAATTCCTCATCTGAAAAATTGAGATAAAAATATCTGCTCTGCTTACCATACATAAGATATTTGTGAAGGGCAAATGAACTAATATATGTGGAAAGGACTTTCTAAACTATAAAGATAAAATTTATTCCATTTATGAGTTCACAGCCTCACTCAGTCTTCATCTTCCCAGGTTAAAAAGTCTTAACTTCACGAACTTCCTTCTAAATTTAATAGAAATAAAAAATGTTTAAATCATGATTTAAAGCAATAGTCTGGAACGCTTGGTTTAAATATTTTTGTCCCTACAGAAAATATTAACCTCATTTGCTGCAGTGTTAAGTCATTTTTCCACTGTGCCAAGATGGATATAATTTTATAAGGTACATATCTTTCCAGTTAAAGTAATTTCAGGAGTTACTTATGAAGACAATCAGGGAACCAAATACTTAAATATTAGGTTATGTCACTCACTAATAAATTTCTTTGCCTCCCTCTTCTTTTTCAAATCCAGGTATCTTATTTAACATCAAAGCCTTATCATCTGATCCCAGATGATATAACTTGGACAGTTTTATCAACTGTTTGCCTTAATACAAGCCTTTCCTCCACCCGAATGCATCTTGTCTCTGGTGTTCACACTGCTGCTTCTTTCCCCTTGCCCAGGATTTTCCCGTGATAACCTACTTTCTCCTAGGGACAGTCCAGCCATGTCATGCCTTCGGTATCTGATTTGAGTCTTCTCTTCTCTATCAGACGTTATGAGACTAATAACTACTCAGACTAATCGCCAGTCAGAAATAACGAGTCAGCCACAACTTTCTTGAACTTGACTTATTTCCATGTATACAGGTTGCTCTCCTGTTTTCTTGTGTGTTTCCCGTTGTTTTCTTGTCTCTTCTCTAGCTGTATGTGACCTTATCATGGGTGGGAACTGTGTCTTGTACTTTTTTGTTGATCCTCATGGTACACAGAACAATGCTGAGATCACAGGAAACCTTAATAACTGTTAATGGTGTGATGAATGGATGATTGACATTTTCAGTAGCCTTCCTGATGACGTTCCTTTCTTGTGTTGTCACACAAGAGGTCATCCTCTAATACATATCATTTTGATCTCTTTTCCCTTAAGGGATTCCTTTGTCCTTAGCCACATCCATCTACTAGTCTATTCACCAGCCTTTTGTTATCTTCTGCAGGTCTATTGTCTGATTATCCAGAGATAATCCATAGCAAGGATCATGTTACCAATTTTTGTAGTTTCTGCATTTCCCATTCCCCATCCCCAGGCTCTAGTACATTGGGACATTTGGTAGACAACTCAGAAATTCTTCGATAAATGACAAGAATAAAGACAACTCAAAGCTTTCAAAGACAAAAATTTTCTTCTAGTCAACTTATGGTTTCTCATTGGCATAGTACGAAACTTTTTCCTTGTGTTGATTAATTAACGCATTTTGTATTTAATTATAATTTAAGACTTCCCCAAATAGAGATTTCATACCTGTCTATGTAAGATCACCGACTATTATAATTACAGTAGTAATTTTAAAAAACTGAATTGACAGAGACCAAAATCAATGAAGACAACAAGTTTTTAAGTATCTAACAAGTTATTAGCTCTTGGTATAGTTAATTTTCTAGTTTTTGTATATATTTTTTTAGATACATCATTATACTTTTCTTGCTATATTAAGCAACATGCATATTATATATACCTTTAGCTATCTATTTTAAATCTTGCATTTGTAATTATTAACAGATTTCAATTCATACTATTTCTAAAAATATCTTTTCAGCTTTATAATTATCATTATCATTTTACTTTTACTCATTCTTCCTAGTTCCTATGTTCCACGTAAGTGATTTCAGGCTATATATTCTTCCAGACTGGGCCAAACATACTGTTAAAACATGTCATGAAATTATGGTATGGATTTAAAATTATTAAAAGTGAATAGAAAAATTGCATCTCTAAGATGCAATCATTGTCTAATAGTTTACCCTCAAGAAAATAGGTATCCAGAAATAATTAGTGTCCTGTATATAGCTTTAAATGCATCTTAACACATTGAGATTCTTATAATTACAGGGGTCGAACTGGAAAAATAAGAGTGCAGAGTCTGAAGATTGGATTGATGTCTCTCTCCAAAGGTCTCTTAGAAGAAAAATACAGATGTATGTAAGACCTTTCCTGTGCAATAGTGTTTTTAGTAATAATAATGATAATAACAATTGATTGGAGGCTTAATTTATATGATTTGCTTGTAATAACAGTTTCCATTCTTTTTACCCCTTACTACAACATGTCCCAGGCTAGACAAAGGGTGTCAGTGAGAAGTGACGTGGATTTGTGTGAAATGAGGTGAGGTGCCTTGATGGAGTGAGAACCAACTGCACATTATTTCTCATCTAAATCGCAGAATAATCACCTCAGAATGTGGGCATCATGACTTCTGTTTTTTTAGCTGAAAAAAAAAAAATTAATTCTGAGATGGATTAAAAATCTAGTCCGTGGCTGCAGACACAATAAATTATGGGGGTAGAATTAGATCTTAGATTGTTCTGACTCTAAAACCCAAGTTTCTTATCTCTCTATACTTCCAATGATTGAAAAAAAAAATTAAGATGGACTAGAACTATTACAGACATGGGCAAATACTTATATTTTATCATGTAAGAAAATAAAAAAAAATTGTTTTTATTCACCAAATAAATCCGTGGTATCCTTTTAGCTGTCAGTTAATGAGGGGCAGGTATCTTGGCATTTTGAAAGGGATGGGCTTGGGAGCCAAGGACACCTGCCTTCAAATCTCAGCATTGCCACTTAGTGGCTGAGTGACTTTGGGCCCATTACCTGATCCCACTGAATACCACTAGCTAAGGGGCGATATTACTCCCATTTCACATTTCAGAAAGCTGAAATGTAATGGAGCTCCTTCAACTGAAGAATGAAGCTAATAGTTCCTGCTTTGAAAGCAATTAGAGATAATATGGGAAAAGTACCTAGAAATAACAGCTGTTGAATAAATGGTAACACTTGCTCGTGTGGCTCCAAACTCTGTAAAGTTTTTCTGATTTAATTTTGTCCATAAAGTGTGAGTGACTTGATCCTTCCATGCATACCTCCGATGATTCTTTACAGAATCTATTCATATATTCTGGGGGGAAGGGTAGGGATATTTCATGGAAGTTGAGATACCAAAGCACAAGAGGATGTTTGATCACAGGTCCTATAAACTTAGTTAAGTTTTGCATTTTCTGTGAACATACATGCCTTTTTTAAAACTTTTGTTTTCTGGGATGTCTGTGAGGCGATTTGCCTGTGAATTTCAGGACTAGATCGTGGTGGCTTGTTTTTCTTAAGCCGTTTGACAAGGATGTCAGTGAAAAGAGATGTGGGATTTGTATGAAACAAAAAGCTGATTGTGGTAAGATCAGGAGGTGAGGTGCCTTGATGGAGTCAGAACCTAGTAAACCATGCAGAAAAAAAAAAAAAAAAAAAAAGCTTTGCAGAAGGCTTTTGTTGGGTGGCCCTTTATTTATCCAAAATTTAAATCAGCCTCAGCATTGTAATTGTCGAAAGATAATAATTTTCAAAACTAAGAAAGTTATTTTTTATAATGAGTGGGAAAGGAAAATGTTCATGAAAACATCACTGTAGCACTAGAAGAAAAGGACTTTTTTTTAATCATTTGTAGTCTGGGGTTTTCGTGTGCTCCTGGAAGAATTTAGAGTTCCTTAGAAGTAACAGTTACGTCACGGTGCTCATCTTATTCTGTAACAAATACAAATTCAAACTCAAGGTTTATCATGAATCTTAAAATGTAAGCATGATCTGCTTTCTTAGACCAATGATTCTTCCTCCCTTTCTTTGCAAGTTGATTATCAGAGGGTACCTGAGACCAAAAGAGTTACAACACGATGACTGTAGTTATAGAGCAAAAACCAGATGCTACACAATACAGTATATAAAGATTTCTTTTATCTGTACACATACCTTCAAACGTATTTCTGAAATACGTCATGTTTCAGATGAGTGTATTTCAGCATACCGATACTCATGCACTCATCATACAATGGACACACTTTCTACAAATGTCAGCAAATTTCATCCTCTGTATTATTTCACATTAAATTTTCAGATTATGGCAAGGAAAGGAGAGGCCCTGCAATGAAAATTTCTGATATTTATCTTAATCCATGAAGTATGCTATTTTAGTACTTAATTAAATAAGACATCTCTTGGGTTGAAATCTTTAAGTCTTTCCTGTGAGTATTGAGACTCTGGAGATGGTCTGGGGTTTTGTTTTGTTTCTTATTTTGAGGTCCTTAGCAACTCTGATTTTAGTTTTGATTGCCCCAGTGATATCAGAACACTTGCTCATTATTATTTCCTTTGTTAGATTAATATTGAAGATAATTTGCTCTCCAAACTCAGCGGCAGAGGTGCCATTCTGGGTCAGTTGGTATCCAAATGCACATTGATTTTGCAATGGCTAATGTCCGTGTCTTCACCCTGGTGACATCTCCTTCTCTCTTCGTGCCTTCTTGAGAATATCCCTTGATTAGGTTCTAATAACAGCTGGACCTTCTTGCTTATAGCTGAGTAGCTTTCTTCCTCATCAAAAACACACTTACAAAGATCCTTCAGAATGGCCTTTTGCATCTCTTCTGTGCCAATTCATTTGAACTTGAGTTTTAGGTTGTGACCTGTCCCCACATCCTTGATAGTCCTTCTTGTTTCTGACTATAATATGAAAATGTGGACTTCTGTCAGAATTCGGAAGTATGTCAAGATGTTAAGGAATCTTTTCTTTTATGTTTTGTGTGTAGTTTTACCTTAACTGTGGCAGAGTAGTATAGTTGTCTTCCTCAAAAGAGGAAAGTTTGGCATGATTGATGTCACTGGAATGTGTACTTTCCTGTGTAGAGCATTATTACCTAGGAGGTCTCTTCCTGGGAATGGGTTTAAAATGAGCATCCTGAGAGTCTTGGATAAATATTTTGTGGCTTTGATAGTCTTATTTTTAACAAAGGGAAGGGGGGTGAGGGAATGAGCAAAATGAGTGAAGAGGAGCGGGAAATACAGGTTTCCAGTTATGGAATGAATAAATCACAGTAATACAAGGTACAGCACAGGGAATATAGTCAATGGCATTGTAATAACATTTATGGTGACAGATGGTAACTATACTTATGATGAGCACAGCATCATGTATAGAGATGTTGAATCACTATGTTGTACACCTGCAACTAATGTAACATTGTGTCAACTGTACTTAAATTTTTTAAAAAGGAAGAAAAAAAAGAAAAACAAATGGAACTCTAACCAAATCTAAGTGAACAAATGATAATGAAAACTAAATTTATCTAACTTGGATTTGCTTCTTCTATGTATGCTTATAGTTAAAGTTACATTTCATTATAATTACTATGTCAGTATCACCGGGCTTGGCTCAGTTGTTTGAAAGTTCACTGTTGGCAGTGTTAGATTTAGCATTATTTCCCTTAAAAAAAAACACCCCAAAATGATACACTTTGCTCAGATATCCATTTACCAGATATTGTTTGAAAATGGTTTTTAGGATCAAATAAATATTTACTCCCCTTTTTTCTGTTCTTGTAAAACTTCACATGAAAAGCATTGAGAATTTATGTTTTTTTTTTAATTTTTAGAACTTAGAAATTTCTTTCCAAAAAGTATTCACTTCTATAAGAAAGTGGATTGTTTTTACATGAAATTTCTCCCTCGATAACTAATGTGATTCATGTCCATGTGATTTTTTTTTTTTAATCTACATCATTCAATTGACAAAACCAAGGATATGGTTTACATAAAAGAACAGTCTCAGCCGATAGAAGTTAACCTCTGGGCTCTCCTCCTCGTAGATCTCTTTAAGGAAGTGGCGGGGCCCACAGAAATGTGTGACCAGAGGCAGCTTGGCCTGTTACTTCACGATGCCATCCAGATCCCTCGGCAGCTGGGGGAAGTAGCGGCTTTCGGGGGCAGTAATATTGAACCCAGTGTTCGCAGCTGCTTCCAACAGGTAAACACGAAGGATCACTGGTACGTAGAATGTGTCAGGAATGGTGTTGAGGATGTTCTGAGAATTCAAAGAGGGAACCAAATGGTAGAAGACATTGGGTACCGTCCTGGTACATTTGTGTTTTATTTCTTCAAGCACATTTGATTCAAGGAACAGCAACCTCCTCGAGGAGACTTACTACTTATCAATGGATAAAACCCCACATCATTAAAATATGCTCTTAGATTGCTGTGGTTTGGCCCTGACTTTGCCCCGGGCCTCACCTTTTCCACCTCATTCCCTTGCTGTCTGCTTTCCAGGTGCAGTTTTCCTTCCTTCATTCTTGCCCTAGCACCTTCGGGCATGTGCCCTCTGTTTAGAATAGTCTTCCTTACCCTTCACCTACAAACTTTGTTCTCATTGCTGATCCTTATTCTTTCTTTTGATCTTTGCATGAACCTCACATTCTCTGAAAATCCTTCTCTGAGCCCTTCAGGTGAGGTTCTATACTCCTACTATCTATTTTCACCTGAATCTCCTCTGTCTCCCTTTGATGCTCATGAAAGTGTAACTACATACTGAGTTACATAATTGATGGATTAGTGTTTTTTCTTCCATACAAACCCCAAAATTCTTTTTAATGCTTGCTGTATATAAAAGCATTCTAGAAATGTTACTACTGGTGTTATATGTAAGCATAAAGGAAAAGGCTATAGATATTTTGCCAAAGCATATCCAGTGATTTATTATTGCTGAGAAAAAAAAAAGCTCACACCATCTCTTTAAGGAGAATTGATGTTATGGGTTATTAGATTTTATAATGGCCCTTTTACTTATTTTACAAATACAAAAAAATACCAAATGAACATTCTAAATACGATTCTCCCATGTACTGGTTCATACGGTGACCTTGACAAACGTGGGAGAAGGATGTTGTTACAAATTTAACTTTGCACATATGAAAATTAGTCAGTATTACGTTCTAAAGAGAGACTAAGGCATTTAATGCAATTAATCATAATCAATTTGGAAATGCTGCCAGGTATATTCATGGTAATATATTCCCAGTGTAATGTTGTAACAGGTGGAGCAGGACACAGAGATACCAGTTTTTATTTAGCATCTATAATGACATTCAAATTTGGGAAGTTACCAGTGAGTCTTTACTTTCTCAAATTTTTACTGTCTTAGATGAATAAGTTTTATAGGATTAAAATATTTATGTGAAAATAGTATGAAGAATTGTGTGGTTTGGGGTTTTTGTTTGTTTGTTTTAAATCTGAGCCTATTAAGGTCTTGGGATTTTTTTTCTTCCTCCTATATGATAATTTCTGCTTTTTCTAATTTTAGATTCTAGAATTTTCTCTCCATGAAGAACCTTAACTATTTTATGATTTAACTCACCTGGAAAGAGTTCTATAACTTATCTTTCACTTTATATAGATTTTCAGAAGATTATAAAGCAACACCTGCTGCAGTTTAAATGAAGAGGTTTTCTTCACTTTGAGTATATGTGTTTCTTTACCAGAATAACAACAAGCCAGAGATAAGCGTGAAAGAGTTTATAGACTGGATGCGTCTGGAACCACAGTCCATGGTCTGGCTGCCCGTTTTACATCGAGTGGCAGCAGCTGAGACTGCAAAGCATCAGGCTAAATGCAACATCTGTAAAGAATGTCCAATTGTTGGATTCAGGTGAGATGATCTGTTGCCCGTGGTAGCAGGAGACTGTTTTCTGTTCTGTTGTTGCAATTTCAGCATTCATCCCTTCCTACTGATTCCCACTGGGGGGTTGTGTCCTCAATAAATGGGATGCTTAGCATATTCCATCTATCTGAAAATGGCATTCCTTCTTATAGCTATTACATGAAGCTTATTTTATTATTATTATTATTGTTATTTATACCACTCTGCTCCAGAACCAGAGATTTTTCTGAATTTCTATTTACATAGATCCCAGAAATGTTCATGCATGATAATTGTATGACTCATTATACTTACATGGCCCCAATGGAATTTGGTGATGTTGCAAGGCCTTTGGGGTCAAACTTAGTAGTCAGAAAGCGACATTTAAATACTGAGAAGTAACCAGATCACTTTGTGTTACTTCTGCCCAACTTTGTTATGAAGTTGATTAACCTGCTATTCACCCTCACTGGAGGAAGCTTTGTCAGGGAATTTTGAGATTCATCTCTTATTGATGGTGTAATGGATTTTTAAAAATTTGATGTGTCAAGCTAATAAACATGACTCTCCTTCTCGGCCATTTGCATTCACTTTCACACATTACAGAAAATCTTCTGACGTGGATATTTGTCTTCACATAATGTTGAAACCGATGGAAACATGAGTTAGAGACTTGAATTCCAAAAATTTGCTTTTTTTTTTTTTTTCACTTGGGAGGTGAGTTCATTAATTTCCCTTGTGAAATCCAAGATTCTCTTGGCCCTAATTTGGAGCTAAGATACTAAGAAAATTCCACATTTTGTGGCCAATCTACCTTTTATTTCCATGGTGCTTTGGGTGAATGGCATTCCTTACCACCAATGAATGATTTAAATAATAGGCATGCAAATAATAGGCATGACTAAATAATAGGCATGCAAGCTAATGAATTTTCTTTTCTTCTCTCTAGGTATAGAAGCCTAAAGCATTTTAACTATGATGTCTGCCAGAGTTGCTTTTTTTCGGGTCGAACAGCAAAAGGTCACAAATTACATTACCCAATGGTGGAATATTGTATACCTGTGAGTAATGAGCCACTTCTTGTTTGTTTGTTTGTTTGTTTGTATGTGGGAAGAGAGGAAGAGGGAGAGAGAGAATCTTAAGGAGGCTCCATGCCCAGTGAGGAGCCTGACTTGGGCTCGATCCCACTACCCTGAGAGCATGACCTCAGCCAAAATCAAGAGTTGGATGCTTAACCAACTGAGCCACCCAGGCACCCCTCTTGTTTTTTTTAAATGTCATATTGCTTTCGAAATAACAAACGTCAAAATTACTCAATATGTTTAGACTTAAATTTTTATGGAAAAAAATCACTTTTAAGACTGCTTAACTATTTTGTGTTTTTTGTTTTCTTATAAACAAATACATCTATGTTGAATTCATTAACATAGAATAATTATACTTTTTTGAGAAAAATTAATTTATTACATTTTATTTACATCTGTGTTTTGATTTTAAACTTAACTTTCTTGGTAGCAAGCTCTTTTTAAGAGCTCACACTGGCCTGCGTTGAAAATGATACTATGTGATGGAAACCATGTCTCTTTTAGACACATTTAAAATACGTTTTCATAATTACATATTTTTATATTAGCAAAAAAGTAGAAAACAGAGGAAGTGAAAAATTCATAAATCTAGCTCCTGAATCAAATCAAATCAAATCTCTGATTTTGTTAAGATTAATTTTTATATTTATGTTATTTTGATCCTGCTTTAATCACTGAACATATGGTAGAGTAAATGCTGTCCCCTTGTAATTTTCCTAGTTACAGAATATTTAATTGAGTGAATTACTAAAATTTATCTAACCACTCCCTCAAATTTATTTGGACACAAGTTTATTTTCAATTTTCTGATACTATAAACAACACTCATATAAATATCTTTGTGAAAATAGGTCTTTCTCTATATTGCATAAATTATATTTCCATGATATAAAATACTGGAAATAAATGATGTGGGTTGATGAATATGAGTATTTTTATGGCCAAAATTCTTCATGTTAATTTACTTCCAAAAGATGTTTATACCTCTTTACATTATTATCACATTTTGTTAATACCCCAATTTCATTACAGCCTCGCTAGCATTGGACACTGATTCTTATTGTTTCTTTGATTTAAAGCTATTTTTTCTGAAGTTATCTTCATTTGCTGTCAAGAGCTGTTTTTTAGCTTCCTTCCAAATAGTGAACCAAAATTTATTCATAGAGCTGTACATTTTCTTTAGGTTTAGGGAATTGAGTTACTTTTTCGATTATAAATTGACAGAAAAACAGCAATGCTTATAAAATACACACATATAAATCTCACAGTCTTGAGTATCTTATCTCAAATAGGTACCCCATATATGGAGAGGAAATTTCCAGAAAATGCTGCATGATTATAATAGATGAAATACCCATAGTGCATAATAACTTTAACTAGGATAAAGATCCTCCAAGAAAATTTATGAAGCACCATTTATTGCTATGATTAACATATTTATTCACTCAACAAATAAACATTGAGTACTTACCTTGTGTCAGACACTCCTCTCGGCTCTAATTCATCATTGTACTACCAGGATAGACAAGATTACTGTCTCTCCTGCTACTTTCCATTTAGGAGGAGGGAATGTGTGACGAAGAACAAGGAAACAAATAAATGAGATCATTACAGATTATAGTAAGCGCCTTTAAAGAAATAAATGGGTAATGAGATAGAAGATTAGAGGAGGCACTTTAGATAAAGAAATCAGGGAAGGTCGGCCAGAGAAGTTAACATTTGAGTTGAGACTGAAGGATGAGAAAGAAGCAGGTGTGTGAAGAACTAGTAGAAATACATTTCAGAGAAGAAACAGGAGACACAGAAGTCTGGAGATGGGAAAGAGGTTGGCGTGGATGGAGCACAGAAGAAAAATGGAGCATGTTCCACAAGGAGAGGGAGCTGGGTAGCACCAGCTATGTCATTTGAAATGCCCAGAGTATCGTGAAGAGGTGGAACCCCTTGTTCAAAATGTCTTATAACTTTTAAGATGGCAACAGCAGAGCATTAACCCAAACTTAGGGAGCTTGTGCGTGTGGGTCCCCTGCAACTGCGCAGGTCACACATCCAGGCAGATGGGAAAGAAAGAGGTGGGAATGATAGGGGAACAGAAAGAAACGGGTGAATTTCTCCATCCACCAAAGGGAGAGTGGTAGGAGATGAGATGAAAGAGAAAGGCGGTATCAGATTGTACAGAACCCTGCTGGTCGTTATAAGAAATTGGGGAGAAGTATAGTATTAATATTTGCATGATTAGAAGTAGGCATTTAGGAAACTGATTATAAAGAGCTGATGTCAAAAAATGGGAAAAATCACAAAGTAAATATACATTGAAGATGTATAAAAATGATGACATGTTTAAAGATGTATAAAGTAAGTAAAGATGTATAAAATTACTATTTTTCTAGGTCTTAAATGTAATTCCTAATGATTTTGCAAAATACCCACACAATTTGAAATCTACATCTCTTCAACAGTAGTCATTGGCCATTTGGAAATGCTGGCGAATCACTGATACACTGATGCATTTCACTGATACATAAAAACTCATTTTAAAATGAAATCTGTAGGTTACCCAAAGCTCTTCTTGTTACATAGATTTTTGCAAAATCATTGTTGTCCTTCTCCTGCATTGCAAAGGATGGCTTCCTTTTTGTAGGTGTGCTTTGGGAGGTCCTTTGCCTCTTTCTGGAGTTTAGGTAGTGATCTTAATCAGCAGCCTACTCATAGATCATCTTATGACAGGTTATTTTCTGCATTTGACCCCACAGCTTTTGATAAAGTAACTAGAAATATATGTAAATTGAATTTTTGAACGGTATACTCTTGAATTGAATAGTAATGAATTAATAATTAATGGTTCTCAAATTTTCTTTCTTTTCATCCACATTCTTTGGATTTTTGCTCTCCTCTTTTAAGTAAGCTTTTTTTTATACTTCATCTGTCTTTTACTCAACATTCCCTAAACTCATTTGATGTCTGTCTTAGAAAAGGAACTCAAATCTGAGTTTTTCAATGCAATGATAATAAGCACCGCTTGCATGCAAATAGGTGAAACCTTTCCATGCAGATCTTGACATTTGCATTTCTCATAGAGCTTCTCCATTTGTGGTGGGGATGGTGCTCTAGTTAAATTACTGACGTCATTTCTTTCCCCTTCAACTTCCTTCTTCCTGAATCTGAATGTTTTATTGTTAAAGGTTTTCTGAAGTCTTATTTTAAACCCTCAAAGCTCCAGAAATATTTCTTCAAACACATCAGCTGACTGTGACAATGTTTGTCTTCAGATGTAAGCAGACTAATGGTGTGTGAATTCTCTTATCATAATTTATGAAGGCACTTTATGAAACTGATAGTAAAACATCTATATACAGAAGTGAAGTAGAATTCTTCTTTCTCTTGAAAATGACTTTTTTAAACTCGTATTTTCTCCCACCATTCTCTAACCCCACTTTGTACATTTAAGGAGTTTAAGGACAGTGATTAGGCTCAGTAAGAGGTCATCTAAAACAGCAGCATGACATAGGTTCTGTTTCATCCCTGTCACCACTCTCTCTCTCTATCCCTCCAAATCCCACCCCTTCACAAAAACAGCTCAACTCTCACTGGTGTGTAAAATCTCCCCAACGTCCTCCGGCTTCCCCTCCCAGGACGCCTCACCCTGCGGGCTCTACCAGTCGCTTCTGTTTCACCAGTTAGTACTTGACTGTGTATTATCTTGTATTGTTTTCCATGTGTTTTTATCCCCTCCACTCTCTTTTTAACTCCTTTTTTCTTACTACACTTACAGCTGGCTCATAAAAGCTAAATCAGTTCATATCTGATATTATAAATACTAATGATAGAATATTAAAGCTGGAAAGATCTGAGAAGTCATCTAATTCATTCTCATTTTAAAGAGAAAACTAAGTCTTAGAAAAGGTGATTTGTTCAAAGTTGGTGGCCTGGATTTAGTGATTTTACTGCCTTAGGGAAATATATGTAATTTGGCACATTAGCAAACTGTCCTGTATGCTTGCTGGAGTGTTATGTTTGTTGGGTATCCAGTTATATAGGCATTTTGCTGGGGACTGAAGATACAGTGAAAATACAATGAAGGAAAGTAAAGATCTCTATGTGGAGAAGTTTAGGACTATGTATTTTTTTTAAATGACTAAGTTTATGGCTCAAGATAATAGTCAAAATTTTTTATTGTTACCTGTGACCTACATGTTTGAATTCAGGGATTATTATTTATTTAAAAAATAGTGACATTTTATATTAAAGATGTGCAGATTTTCAGTTTCTTTTTTATTGGAATAAGTCTGTGATCATGTAATTTCACAATGAAAGTGACCCTAATTTTATCTTTTAAGAAATTGCTTATATTCTCTGTTGCAAATAACCAAAATTTAATTCACATTAGACACATTTTTGAATGTTAGGACATAGAAAAAAGATAGCCCCCTTTTTAAAAATTCAGTTAGTCAACATATAATACATCATTAGTTTCAGATGTAGTGTTCCATAATTCATCAGTTGCGTAAAAGCTATCCCTTTAAACTAGAGAGAGAGGATGATGAGTTTCACGTATGATTTCTAAGAGTTTATGCAATTGCTGCCAGTGAGCGAGAGCTAGATAGGATTAAATATTAAGGAGCATGGAAAAGGTTTGGAATTGCTACTGGGGGTAAGCATGAGTCAACAAGAGATGAGTAAATTGATTGCTACCTTGCAATAGGAGTGCAGCTGAGGTTAATTGGCAAGGATTTGCACTGACTCCATCACTGTTCAGTTGCTTTGGAATTAAAGGATGGTAGATAGAGTTGAAGGCCAAGGGAGTGAATGATACAAAAGTGTTAATGATACTGGGATTGCTTTGGGCTGTCCCCATACTGAAGAAATCCCAAAAGGGGTTGAAGGGCTGTGGGGGAAAGAAGAGGTTTGTTCGTATTAAAGAAGTAGGAGCAAGGGTAACATTTTTTTTTTTCCAAGTTAGAAATTGGGAACCAAATAATGTTT